TGGTTCTGGCTTGGCTTGGATGGGCCACTGGACTCTTGAAAGAATGGTGCTGAACAAAACGGTTCCGGGTCTCCTACTTTTCTGTAACTATATAACACTCTACCGTATTTCATTTAACATTTGTCAATCAAGCTGTATTTATTTTTTTGAGCCACATATCTCTCCGTCCTTTCCTCTCTCCTCTTCCTCTCCTTCTCCTTCCCTCTCTCTCTCTTTTTCCTCTTCCTCTCCTCCTTCCCCCCATCCACCTTTTTTTTTTTCCCGTGAGAAGAGGAATCATATGTACATAGCCAGCTAGACAGCCATTATAAGTAAATAATCCACCGACAATACAATAAGTACAATAAGTACAAATAGAGTAACATGATGAATCAACGCAACATCTCATCTCATTTTCTCATTATTACACATTAGAATTCACAACGAGCTAACTAACTAGCTAGCTAGCAAACTAGATAGGTAGGTAGGTAGGTACGCCAAAGGCTATGCAGCATCCATCCACCCACCGCCCCCTCCCACGCATTCAATATTTTCCTTTTCCTTTTCCTTTTCCTTTCCATAAGAGCGCCATAGGGAGAAGAAGAAACCCCACCCCCGAATATGCCACAGCAGCAGAGCAAAGCAGAGCAGAGCGCTACGTACGAGTCTAATACAGTATCGTGTTCACATCCTCTCCTCATATCCCCTTGCTCGCTCTCTTTTCTTCCGTTTGCGCCCTCACCCCGGCAGTTGGATATGTCTCTTTCTATCCCTGACTCACGCATAAGCGACTCCCCCCCAACATGCCCTTCCACGCCTCTCAGTTCTTCGGATGCGGGAACTCGTCTGCGAGCTTCAACCGCACCAGCACGTTCATGCTCAGCATCTCCTGCACGAGCAACTTGGCCGCGTACGGCATCGTCATCTTTGTCACGCCCCGCGTGCTCTTACACGTCTGGCACCAGCCTTGATACCCCATCAGCCCGCAAGTCTCACAGATATCCACCTCGTGCGCGTCGCTGCTCAGCATCAATCTCTCGAGCAGGAGTTGCGAGGCACCGTACGCGATTAGACAGTCGCGCTCCATTTCTCCCAGACGCAGACCTCCGTCACGGGAACGACCTTCCGTCGGCTGACGCGTGAGAATGGCGCGGGGCCCGCGGGAGCGAGAATGCATCTTGTCCTGCACCATGTGCTTGAGCTTTTGGTAGTAGATGGGGCCGAAGAATATATATGCTGGAAGGGGCTCTCCGGTGATGCCACTTGTCACAAAATCCTTTCCGGAGTACGAGAACCCGTTTTTAATGAGGATGGCGCCCATGTCATCGACGTTGCTGCCACCAAACGCCGTGCCGTACTCCAGTGTGCCATTCAGGACGCCGGCTTTACCAGAGAGCAGCTCCAGCATCTTTCCGACTGTCATACGCGAGGGGAAACCGTGGGGGTTCATAATGATGTCGGGGCAGACACCGGAGTCGGCGAACGGCATGTCTTCCTGGTTGACGATGATGCCCACGACACCTTTCTGTCCGTGGCGAGAGGAGAACTTGTCGCCGAGTTCCGGGCGGCGGGTCTGCCGGGTTTGGACTTTGATGATGGTGTCATCGCGGTCGTTCTGCGTAGTCATTACTTTGTCAATATAAGCGAAGTCATAGGCGCGGTAGGACGCGGGTGCGGGTTTGTAGTCGTTTGTACCGTAGTCGGAGCCGATGCCTGTCGATATTGTATTCAGGGGTGTTTCTTTGTTGCAGAAGACCTCGCCTGAGAAGATTCGCTCGCCGACAGCTGCGATACCATCGGAAGTTAAAATTCGGTGCTTGGCGATAGGCTTGCTTGGATCTTTCTCATCTAGAACGCGGTCACCGATGCGATCGTAGGATCTGTTGGGGTACTTCTTGAGTGAAATCATGTTCTTGCGGAAAACTTGGCACCGTCCGAAACCTCGATCGCAGGATGATTTGTTGAGGACTAAAGCATCTGTTCATAAATTGGTTAGCAGTTTTCGGACGGTGGGTGTGATGATGACTTACCTTCGATATCATAACCAGAGTATGACATGACGGCAACTGTCGCATTCTGCCCAGCCGGAAGCTTGTCATAATGAATCAGTTCGATCGTCCTCGTCTTGACCATAGGCTGCTGCGGGTACACCATAAGATAGAGCAGAGTATCAATGCGTGAGAACTGGTTGTATGCAATAGATCCAATAGCTTGCTTACCCATAGCACATTGGTAAGTGTTACGGGGAGATTGGTTGTGATGAGGGTATGGAATCAGACCAGCAACAGCACCCAAGATCGTGAATGGTTCGATCTCGAGATGTGTGGAGGTTTCGTCGATTTCTTTCTCGTATAGGGCGATGTTGGAGTCGTTCTCCTCGTTCACGTCAACATACTCGACAAAGCCTCGATAGAGGAAGTCATCGAAATCCATCTTGCCGGCACGTAGAGCTTCTAATGAGCGACGAGTGACTTTAGATTTCTGGTTCTCGACGATGATGAGGGGTCTACAGATTCTTCCTTCGTCCGTGGCAATGTGGACTGCGTTGGTGTGGTGGTTAATGAAGATGCTCACGAATGCTGAAACCCGGCCTGCACGGCGGAACCTCCGGAAAGTGTTCAAGAAGACCTTTGGTTTTCTGGTCAGTGCCAGGGGAGTTCCGTTAACGAAAACGACGTATGCCCCATCTTCATAAATCTCCTTGCCGCTCATTGAGACGATATCTTCGGCTCCGAGCACAAAGACCAACTTCTTGACAGGCTCCTCAAGATCGTTGGTTGTGATATGTGTCATGAGAGCCAAATTCTTGACTAAACCACAGGCTTCTCCTTCAGGGGTATCGGACGGGCAAAGCATACCAAACTGAGAAGGCTGCAGAGCACGGGGACCAGAGACCTTTCGAGTCTTCTCGAACTGCGAACTGATACGAGTCATCATCCCCAAAGCACTAATGTAACTCAATCGGCTGAGCACATGAGTGACACCCGCGCGCTCCATCTTGAATCGCTTGACACTCCAGTTTCCAGTCGAGATAGCCCGATTCATGCCTTGTGTGATGTGATTGCCGTGGGATTGCAAGTGGTTGAAAGCGTCGAACTGCATCGTCCTATTCGGCTTCTTTAATACCTTGTCAATGTTCATCTTTAGATCCGAATTGAACTTCTTGAACAGATCTTCAAAAAGCAGAGACAGCAGCTGTCCCGCCAGTTCTAAACGCTTGTTTCCAACATAATCGCGATCATCAACAAGCTTTGGATCATGGTTCGCCATTAGAACACGTCGAACCATGAAGCAAATATACAAAGCCTTTGGACGGAAGTCAAGTCCATGAACAGGTACATGGGTAATGATGATGCTCGATAGAGCCTCGAGCGCATCTGCTACATGGTTCCGTCGTTGTGGAGCACCTGGAGTGCCTTTCCTAGAACCCATTTTGACTCGAGTACCAATCCATTCCAGCGCTTGATGTTGTGAGAATACACCCATTTTAGTACACTCTTCAAAGTTGACCGCAAAATCATCCTGGTATGTGCTATCTGTTCCAGCAACCAGTAGTAACATTTCATGGTCCGATTGAATGCCCAGTGCTTTGAGTGCGATCACAATCGGGATAGCCTCGTTGAGAATGTTGTGTTGGAGCACGATTCGTTCCTTTTTGAGAAGCACATAACTCTTCGATTTCCGCTCGTGGGTAGAACTTTCTACAGTCAGCACGCTCCGCTGTTTTTGGAGCCATCTTACCTGGTAACAGAAGCAGAAACGATGCCCTTTTTGACATCGGTCTCGACAATAACTCTGTTTTTGCTCAACTGCTCCTGAACAAGAATGACCTTCTCCGTACCGTTGACAATAAAGTATCCTCCTGGATCCAAGGCACATTCATTCATATGCGCCATATCATGATCATCCCCTCCAGAAAGTCTACATTTGGAGCTGCGAAGCATGATCGGCAACCGCCCAATAGCAATATCCGTTCTGTGTATGACCTGCTTCCCTCGGATGTATTTGATATTGACTCGGATGGGAGCTGCGTAGGTCAAATCTCGCAGACGGCATTCATTCGGGGTGATTGCTCGTTGCAAATTTCTGTCGTCTTGTTCCACACGGTCTGGCATTCCAATGTTGACATCCGTGTACCTAAAGCCCCATTAGCAAAGCTTGGTGTGGCAGTGGGGTGCGACATACTCCAGAAAGAAGTGTTGATCAACATCGCTGGTAACTCTCTTATTCGCCTTGACAATATCTTTGATCTCAGTCTCGATGAAGAAGTTGAAAGAATCGATGTGCTGCTTGACCAAGCCTTTAACCTTGAGGAAAGCAGGCAGAAGGTTCCATTTGTCCTAACCCGCATTAGATACCGCAGATACGATTCTATCGCAATACATACCTTGGCTGTGTTTATAGGCGCCGTTATATCCTTGTTCGAGTAGAATGGGTTCAGCAACGCCGCAAAGTCCTATCAAATGTCAACTACTACTCCAGAATACGCCCCGATGTTGCTCCTACATCTGGTCCTGACACTCGCTTTTCCTCCTCTCCCTCCTCAATCTTAACTGTCTTCTTCCTCGGCTTGCGCTTCGTGACTTCTGGACTGTTTTGTTCGGAAGCAGCTGAAGCTACTGAGGTTGGCGTCGCCTGTCACTCGGATTAGTCCTCGAGCTCGTATTCTGTCGCCCTCGAATTTATTTTACCTTTTTGGAATGGCCAGACTTTGCAGCCGCGACCTCGACAGGTCCTGCTGCCGTCTTTTTTTTTGGTGGCATACTGTTGTCTTGGACTGTGAGGACGAAGTTCTGCCACTGGATAATATTTGGTGATTGACGATAGCTATGAAACCCACCAAGATTTTATTAGTGGGCTAGTCGGAAAGCGCAAGGGCTAGCGGTGCTCATCGGGCCGTGAGTTTTTCCGATACAAGCCAGTGACCTCGGCTGCGATTTTAGTGCGTCCATAATGTGATGCTTCACCGCTATTCCTTCAATGGCCCTTTTTGAGGGCATGTATGGCCTGAGCCCTTAAATGGAATTGTCCTCTGATTCGCAGCAACCTCTGCACAAAAATTGAATTGGATTCATTTTTTTTTTTTTCGTTTGTGTGTAGTCCTGGCGGCGCTGAACGAAACCACTGTTTGTTGACTTTCGGAAAGCCCTGAGTTAGCCGGGCCATGGGCCACTGGCGCCAGGCAGGTCCATCGGCTTCGGGATCACGAGGTCATGGGTAAGGCATACAGAGCTTGGAATGACGGGCCTCTGAAGGTTGTTACATAAGATATGAAGAATCCCTTCTCGTAGTTATTCGTTGGCGCTGACAATCACCTCCTCACTCAACCGCGATTCTCCCAGTGTGTTTGAAATAAGACTTTCAATCGGACTTGGCCAGCAAAGCTATAAGTAATAAACTCTAGACTCTAGACGCTCTGAGCAGAGTACTTCTACCTACTCTGTACGTAGTAGATCAAGCAGACCCTGGGCTGTCAGAACCACTCATGCATCTCTACGTATGTGCAAGTGGTACTACGTACTTAGGTATACCCTCAAAGTTTCCATTTCGTCCGGTTACCGCTGGTGACCTCCTTTCCGCCTTTTGGATTTCTGAGGGCTCGTCATCTGGTTCATCATCTCCTGGAATTACTTGCCAATAATAAATAATGAGGTCTATCATCTGCCGGGCCAAAGCGAAGATGCCATCCCGGAATGTGGGTGATGTTGTGTCCTTGAGGGTGTGGAGGATTGATTGCGAAATACTAGAGGTTCACCCAGCCCTCCCCCGGTTTCATTTTTAACTGCCGCAGGACTCGACCGCCTGCTGGCCTGGGCCCTCTTCCCAGCCTCGTCGTAGGAGCACGTAGGAATCACCAGCACGCCGAACGAGGAGTCGGGTTTGAAATTTTCAACATCCTGCAGGCCAACGATGGCAGAGTCGCCTGTTGCGTAGTATCGGGAGGAGACGGCGAGGCATAACAACTGGTTAAGCCTCAAGACAATAGGATATCAGCTCAGCCAGGACCGCGCCCGTAGTCGAATTCAGGGTCCAGTTGTTTGTTTACATAAGCTGCCGAGCATGGACCTCGAGCCGCCAGGACAAACAGAAAGGAACCCTAGCGTGGGGGGCTTGGTGATGGGACTTGTCAGGAGAAGTGAGTAAGTTTGCGGAGCTTGACGGATAGCGACTGATGCGGTTATGTGCGTTGGGTTGGGTTGGGTTGGGTTGGGCTAGGCGAGTGTGCGTGCAGCGCCGTAGCCGGGTAAATATTTTTACTTTTACATAAAAAGCATGACGGTCAGTAGTAAGACATGATATGATATGACAAGGGATTAAGTCCGACAAGCTATTGTCAGTACTTACTGGATGTCCGACACAAGATGATAATAAAGAGCTGCATAGAACTTGCAGAGAGGTGGGCACATACACAGTAAAAAATGTCTAACTGATAAGTAAGGTAAGGTAGATAGAAAAGATAATGGATTGCACTAGTGATAGATTAAAAGACTTGTGACAGTTGGCAGGCGTCTATCTCTCTACAATAATCCGACGGCCTCCTCACTTGCATTGCTATTGCCCGTTGCCGTTGTCGACACATTGTAGAAGTATTTCGTAAGAAAGGCACGTACACGTATAAGAAGTACTCAACCCACCCACTCCGCTTTGTTGATTGACCCTTTGACGCCGCTCCCTGCCCTGAACAGTTACGAGTACCGGTACCGTAGTCGAGCGAGCGGGATTAGGAGGAGTTCCGAAGAGCACTGCTGAGTTAAACGCGTGGTTAAACGATTCGCGCTAGCAGGGACGTGAAGGGAAGAACCGAAATCGCACGCCTACCTGCGCCTCTCCCTTTCGGACCCGACATCTACCTCCACGAACTCATCCACCAGTCTTCTGCATATCTCGACTCTGCGCTTGCGTCCTGTGAGGACGCACGCTACGCTCCCTTTCGCAAATACAGTATTTCAGGTATGTGTAATCTGATCATCATGCGCTGGGATGCGATGCGCGATGCGATGCCTCGATCTCTCTGCGGCTTCTGCTGTCCCACCGGATTGTCTTGCCTTGCACACCGCACAACAAGAGAAACCCCCCCCCCCCTCTCCCCCCACCTCAACGCCTCCTCGACCCAGCGCGTCTGCTTTCCTTTGCGGTTAGAATTGAATTTGACTCGGGCACAGTATTACAACTCGTCAACATGGCCTATTCCAACAGTACCAGCGACCGAATGGACGAGCTGCGCTTTCGCAGCCAGCACTCCCGGACCGATTCATCTCTCCTCGGAGGGCTGGTTTCTCCTCCACGGAATGGCTCCAGCACCAATACCAACACCAGCAGTAACAACAACAACAGCAACAGACTGCCTGCTCCTCTGCAAACGAATGATGGGAGAGGAGGGTTGATGAGAAGATTCACAACCGACTCGACTCGTGTACCAACAATTACTTCTATTACTACCCAGAGAGCCGGAGGCGCTCAGGATGCACAAGACTATGGGCCATCTGTAAGCTATTAAATGCCCCCAAGGGCAATTTCGCTGCCCCCCTTTCTCCTCATAACCAACATCTCTCACCTCTTTTGGAGAGCCAATTCAATCTCTGTCAAGGAATCAAAGATTCGTTGGAGCCCAAGCTAACTTGTAATGCATAGACTTACCATAAAGTGCAACTTGTAAGCACCTTCAACCTCTTCCCTCTTCACTCTTTAGCCACCTACATCTCGACCAACACCCCCTTTCTACCTTTGAGCAAATTGAGACTCTTATTGCCTTTTAAACTACATTCAACTGCCTTGCGTACGCATACTCTTGCCCGCTAGCTCACGTACCATACAGCTAGAGAAAAAGAAACTTGAATACGAGAGACTGCGCGAGCAAAAACGCCGGTTTGAGGCCGAGATGCAACTGCTTGACCTCCAGCAACGCCGCGAAGAACAAGAGCTTGCGCAGATGCAAGAGGATCTCGGACGTGGAAACAACGCGAACGGTGGCCACCAGTCGGAACCTACTACTCCCCCCGAATATCGCGAGTCCAACTCCGGTTTTCCCACAGTGTTCTCTAGGCCAAACAGATACTCGACATCTAGTATCACATCTCCGCCGGGCATCTACAATAGACAAGGTCGTTCAGGCTCTCAACTTACATCGCCCCAAGCAGGTCCTATTCAGGCGAGATTCACAATGGAAGATAAGCTGGCTTCCGAAGGCTCCAGAAGAAATAGTGATGAGGACGAGAAGGCAGAGGCTGTCAGACAAGACCCTACAAGTCACAGATCTACGAATGCGTAAGTCTTTTATTTCATATCATGTTAGCACCACGGAGCTGGGAATATCTTCACCTTTGTCATGTGTTGCAGCAATGGATGGCTGGCCACGGCCATTCTGAGAGGTATTGCCGCGCTGGCTTCCACTTGCTCTAAATACCATCTCGAGAAACCCTGATGTTTGTTTTGATGCCTAGCATTCAATCCAGTTGCACTAGAATCTCCAGTGGAGAGTACTGGTTTTCTGGGAGAAATCGGCCTTGGACTCAATTCAAATTTCAACTCACGTTTGCCTCGAGCTGGTTAAGAAAAGCAAATTCAATTTTGCCTCACTAATTCACTTATCAAAAAATCACGCGATCAGTCGCGTCTACCCTCAAGTTGAGAATTGACCTCCGTAGCGTCCTTATCACTTATCTAGTTCAACCCCCTCTACAACTTCTCTTCACTTTCCCCCTTTCAACAACTGCAACCTCACACCTACTTGAATCGTTACCGTTACCTTGCGAAGCTTGCAGCATATGCAGTTGAGCCTGTACTACAGTACCATTAATTTCCTTTCGAACAACCAAACGTCAATTATCTCTTGGTTTTTTCGATCTGCATATCACCTTTACTCTCACCTTTTCTGTCAAGACGTCTGTCAACTAACGGCCTCAAAAAGCCTCAACAGATACTCCATGCCCGTCACCAAGTCCCGTAACGGTATTCACGAGATGTTATCACTCGACCAAACCAATACCACACGCTTCCTGTTCGGTGATGAGGAAGGTGCCCCCGAAGTCAACAACTATCTGAACATGAGTGGCACTGATAACCACTTCCCGACTCTGGTTCGTGGATTCAACCCAGGCCAAGTATGTTCTATATATTCTTTTGGAGATTCGTTTACTGACCAACAGCCGCAGCTGTCCGCCTCACATGCCGCTCTCGATCTAGCCCTGTCTCAATCACCTGGCCCTGAGTCCTCCTCTTCCAATGCCTGGGGTGCGGTCTCCCGACACCGCTCTTCCCAATCTCAACAAAGCCTCCCTGCTATTCATACATTGCAAAGCCAAGGCAACGGTCAAACAAACGGCTCATCCAACCCACCCGAGTCTCCCATCAGTACTCGCTCTGCATACCGCAACTCGGTGGACCGAAACTCGTTGGACACCAAGTCATACTACGATGCTCAAGAATCTGCTCAGATTGCGTCGCCTAAGAATGCTACACCGCCAAAGCTGCAGTCCTCCTATTCGGCTAATGACGTCCCCACTATGAGATCGACAACAAACGGAGCCTCCTCGGTCAATACCACCCCCAACTCCCACGCCCAGCAACATCTCCACAACCACAACGCAAGCCTGGGTCGTATTCCACCAAGTGCCTTGAACAACAGACTCAGCCGTGAGATGTCTTCCGCCGAGACTGCTACCCTTCGTGAGGCTCAGAATGGCGGTTACCAATCCATCCAATCTGCTCTTCAAGCCAACGCTCCTCCCTTCGGTCCATCTCTCGGTCAACCTCTCGCTCAGACGATGTCTCAAGCACCTCTGCAACCAACAATGACCTCGCCTTCCGCTCAACAGGCATACCCCACCCAAGGCTACTACAACAATTACGGCATGCAGCACATGATGATGGGAATGCAAGGCATGGGTCTTACTCAACAAGGCTACTCGCCACTCAACCCATACGCTTCTCCAGGTTACGGCTCTCAAGCTGTTATGTATCCTCAAGGTAACAATGGTCCTCGTGATAGCCAGGCTCGGGTTATCCAGCAGCGCCGACAAAATGATGGTGAAGGTACGTTTCCTGCTTCTTTTCCTCTCGATCTCCACAAATATCTTTCATATACGTCTTTGTCCTCGATGCTTCATATCTTGATCTCCTTTTATCCACCTCCGACTGTTCATTTCGTTATATTCCCCCATCGGCAAACCCCGAGTGGGAAATTCGTTGCATCTCGCTGTTCACTATTGTGGAAGCAGTCTGTGCACAGCATATATTTTTCTTGCCCCGATCCGCCCCACTTATTCTACTAACACTCTGCAGCTATGAATAGATTTGCCAACTTGCCTCTCGAGTCACTCGGTGGTGAGATCTACGCCTTGTGTAAGGATCAACATGGCTGCCGCTATCTGCAGAAGAAGCTCGAGGACCGCAATCCTGATCAGGTCCATATGATCTGGCTGGAGACCAATCAGCATGTTATCGAGCTGATGACTGATCCATTCGGCAACTATCTCTGCCAAAAGTTACTCGAGTTCTGCAATGACGACGAGCGTACTGTCCTCATCGAGAATGCCTCCCACGACCTCGTCCGCATTGCTCTCAACCAACATGGAACCCGAGCCCTCCAAAAGATGATCGAGTTTATCTCTACTCCTGGTCAGATCCAAACAATCATTGAGGCTCTTCGCCATAGAGTTGTTGAGCTCATTCAAGATCTAAATGGCAACCATGTCATTCAAAAGTGCCTCAACAAGCTTTCATCCACTGATGCTCAATTCATCTTTGATGCTGTTGGAACTCACTGTGTTGATGTCGGAACCCATCGGCATGGCTGCTGTGTTCTTCAACGCTGCATCGATCACGCTTCGGGTGAGCAAAAGGCTTGGTTGATTCGTCAAATCTCCAACAATGCCTACGTTCTGGTCCAGGATCCTTTCGGAAACTACGTAGTCCAGTACATCCTCGATCTCAACGAGCCTACTTTCACCGAGCCTTTGGTTGCTATGTTCCAAGGCCGTGTTGGCCAGCTGTCGAAGCAAAAGTTCAGCTCAAACGTCATTGAGAAGTGTCTCCGCTGTGCCCAGGAGCCTTCGAAGGATATGCTCATCGAGGAGATGCTTCAACCAGCTGAGCTTGATCGTCTTCTTCGCGATTCGTTTGCAAACTATGTCATCCAAACTGCTCTTGACTATGCGAATCCTAATATGAAGGCTCGTCTTATCGAGGCCATCCGCCCTTACTTGCCTGCTATCCGCACCACTCCTTACGGTCGCCGTATCCAAGCCAAGATCCAAGGCAATGAGGGTCGCAGTGGTCCTTCCAGTGGTCAAGCTACTCCAGTTGAGGCTATTGAGACAACACATCACGCCCCTCTCCGTCACCAGCGTGGTACCTCCAACGCCTCCGCCAACACTACTGGCTTCAACACCCCAGGCAGCCAATATTCCAACGGCTATGTCCCTGTTGCTGCCAATGGTGCCGTCAGTGCTATTCGGGCAACCACCCAACCAGGTGCCAAATTTCCATCGACCGAGCAACTTGTCTCCGGACAAGCCCAGCAAGTCTTCCCCTATGCTTATGGCAGAGGAGCTGCCGGTAGTCAAGCTGGTAACGGCAACGCCAACGGGAACTGGTTGTAACTTCAACACATCCCGTAACGACGAAACGATCTTTACGCTTGTAACGATACGAGGGATGATCTTTTCGAATCGTCTGGTCTTTGCATTTCATCCGTCACTGCATTGCCTTCGGGCATTCTATTTGGATGTCATCACAAGCCTCATGAATGTTTTCACCAACGAATTTTACGGCCCCCTGATTGTTACACTAGCAGCATCCCGAGGCTCTGCTTTGCAGCGGAACCTTTTTTTATCAATGATATTGCATCATGCCGGCGTTTTCTCTTGCCTCTCTTCGATTTTTAGCTGCCTCCCTGTACAACACCAGCTTCCTCGGTCCATTAAAGATACGAAAGATCTGCGGCACGAAACTCGAAACGACATATGAAAGCGCAAGGTACAATACCATACGAGCGAATTGCGCGGCTCGACCTTGTACCTGTACTTAGGATAGGCCCGATCACATAGACAGAAAGCCTATTCTAAAAAAAATCTCCTTGGATCGCTCTTTGGTTTTCTTCGCTTCCCAGCAAAATTGTGGCGCGGTGGTCGCCGTTTTTCTCGTCTTCACCGGCAATTTGCAAATGGGTCAGCTTTTCTCGTTTCTTGCGCAGGCATCTTGTGTTTACACATTTTGCACATTCACCTCTTGCCTCTGCGCCCAAACCGTTTTCTTCTTTTTCCTCCCTTGGCGGAATTTGAGGATAATGATTTGAGTATATGCATCCTTTGTATTATGCCTGGCCCACTTTTCTACGAACGAGGAAAGTGTGAAAAAAAAACCCCCGGGGATTTTCTGCACTGCTTGTTTGTTTGCCAGATTTTTCTGCTCTCCTGTTTCCCCTTGGGATGTGGAGAGCATCATGATACACCACAAAAACATTATTAATTCCCCTTCTTCCGATTCCCAATTTTCAGGTGGCAATGTCCCCTACTTTTTCTTTCCATTCTCTCTGGTAGCTGATTAGTGGTAGGTTGTTGAAGGGGGGGAGAAGGTGTTGCCACTAGTCAGCTATTCGGAGGGAGAGAGATGAATGAAACTTTGAAAAAGGAAAATGGACATTATGAAATATGTTGAAGTCTTTCTGGTGATATGTAATGTGATTTTTCAAGTGCAATCTGCGTAAATATGACCATGTAGGGACGAAATTATTGATTTTTATAATATGGAATTGGAAAATACTACGTACGAAAGGAAGGAGCAATAACATCTGACTATTTTGATACTATGAATTAGGAAGTACGGAGGAAAGGAATTTTATTTTAATATGCAAGCGGGTATGAAAATTATGAATATCAGCTGTTGAGTGATTAAAATGACTCAAATTTCGAATGAAATCTCGATCTAATAAAATTTCAATTTCAGCTGTTTTCTCTATCCTATATCAAAGGAATATTTCAAAGGGCCGCTTTTATATTTTGTAACTTATTATTATCATTGTCGTTATCATTATCATAATCCGATTATTTTTTGTGCATGATACATATATACGAAGTGGAGATGGATGAGGTGGAATCATATAAGAAGTGTCTTACTTATTTCAAAAGTTATTAATCTTTTGAATTATGGGTTGGTTTGTATTTGAAGGTGATACGGCGAGAGGGATGAGGGAATGAAGATGATAGTAAATAGGGGAATGAGTGTTGTTGTTGTTGTTGTTGTATTCATTAACGTCGGGCGGGTATCCAAAACGCAATGCTTGGACCCTGGAGACCTCTTATGGGGTACGGCGACGTGCTAAGTAGAGGAATGATATACAAAGTACTATCTAATCGAGAGTAAAAACCACGTTGGGGAAAACCTCTCGTCAAATAGCTGAACACTTGTAAACCCCTTAAAAGCAATTCATAGATAGTGCTGTGCGTCGAGTTTTCTCTCGACAACTGTCGAATACGTGTGGCCCTACGGGTGGCCTCGATCCGTTTTATTTCGTTTTGATTTGAATTTGGAATCAGGTTTTGGTAAAAAATATATATGTTTATATATATGTTTATATATATATATATATATATATTGGAGATGAGATAGATATAAGAATGGAATGAAGATGAGATACGGATAAAGGGTAGAAGATAAAGGAAGTTGAAACGGAAAAGATAGATGCGGTATAGTCGGTACTCTAAGCAGTATAGTTTTATGTTTTGGAGCTGGGTAGGTAGGTAGGTAGGTGGATAGGATAGATAGGTAAGCTAAATCGGGCAAGATGGGGAGGTAAGCAGTATGCTTTTTCTCTTGAAGAATGAAATAATTTTATGTATAAAATAAAATCTCTACTTATCCTAACCTTTTTATATTAGATAGACAGGCTTGTATGTTTTGCTTTGGTAATAA